TAGCTAGGAATCAATATAAAAGAATGAAATATGTATCGGCATCTCGGGGAGATTCTTTATGGCTGGAACACTTGTCAACTGTTTTTGGGACAGTGTCGATCGACACCATAAATTTTGGTTCGAACGGTTTAGTTTTAAATCGTCGGTTTGTCTTGGAATTGATTGGGATGAAACCCTAAGTCATGTTAAAACTCGAGCAGCCATCCTTTTGGGTCAGTTTTTATCTACTGTCGCTTTCTGTGAGTTCTGATAGAGAGAGAACTTGATAGTTTTGTTTCAGAGGCTTAAAGAGCCTTAAAAAAGAGTTTCTAGAGGTTTTTGTGACTGTTTCTTGGTGTTGCAAGCAAAGGTTTGAGGAGATTCATGGTTGTTAAAGCAAGAAGGGTCTTGTTCTTGTTGTTTCTTCTCTGTTTTGTCCTTCCTTTCATATCAAGGATAGTGCGTGACCATTGCTGATCAAAGCATGTTTAACCCTGCTGATGTGTATTTGGTTGATTAGATGGCTGGATATTTTTTGTGCACATGTTTATGTGTTTTGGTTGCTGTTATTGCATGTTTGAGTGTTAGAATTTATGGTTGGAGCTTTCGAGGTGGTGAATTCGTTCTTTGGATAGTTGAGAGACAACTAATGTGTCTAAAGTGGTCCTCTAAAACTAATGTGTCTTCTAAGGCTTCGTAGTAGCCAATTTTGTAGTATATACACCAGAAGAAGTTGGAAGCCATGCCCACATATCTAGAGCACCTTTCTTGCTTGGCCGAAACAGAAGAATCTCTTCAACATAAGCTGGTAGTAATTTTTTGAGCAGGTCCTTGTTCCATTCCAAAGAATATGGGATCAGTGAGTCGGAGACTTTTAAATCTTGGGATTCCTTGGTTGGAGGTCTCATTGGTTGATGTGGGGATGCTCAGCAGAGCCAAGGACTATGCCACACATATACAAAGCTAAGTACCTGATCCAGTGATTCTACCTAGTTTAAGTTTAAATGACCTCTACCAAGGCAGATGCTGCGCTGGCCATGAGAAGCCCAACCTAGAACTCGACATTCCAGGAAATCAGGGCTGTTATAGTACTTTCCCAAAATAACTTTAGCGAGAAGGTAGGATGGTTTTTTGAGGATCATCTAGCTTAGTTTAGCAAGAAAGGCTACATTGAAGGTACTAGTATCTCTGAACCTAAGTCCACCATCTCAGAAAGATTTTGTCATGTGATTCCAAGAATTCCAACAAATTCCAAGAAATTCATTTCTAGTGTTACATAGGGTTGAAGGGCTGAGAGAACCAAAGAGTGTATGTCTCCTTCTTGAGAAGTGAACATCTGTTGATAAAAATTTATGATAGCTTTTATAATATCTTTTTCTTCAAAAACTGAATTACCATCAGCAGATTCCATCACAGAAATATTGTTCATAACTCTTCTTCATTTGGTAGTCGTGTGGAAATACCCTATTTTTTGTCACCAAAGGCCAACCAAAGTTGTATGCTCCTCTGTTTCCAAAATGCCTCCTCATTCTGGTAACCTTTGGTCATTTTCTGGTTGTTCTTGTTGATCTCATCATGATTATCAACACCTTGACTCATGTTTTCTTCTAGAGCTTGCCTCAAAACATTGATCTCCCCTTCTTGTTGTTTTTAATCCAGCTATTTCACCCTACTAGGCACTATTGAAATTGATAACACTACCCAATGCATAAGCTCTTTTGTATTATCAACCTTATTACTCATGAATAAGACTCTACAACAATGCATAAGCTCTTTTGTTTCCCAACACGTTATCATTCCTAGCCGCCTGAGCTAACACAAAGCCTTTTTCTCCACTTCCAATCTCACTGTCACCTACGAGATTATGAGACTAACTTAAGATTTATACTTAGGAACGTTACTCCCACCATATTCAAAGACGAGAGATATTTCTGTCATTTAAGGATGAAAGAGATTAGTGTAATTAGTACTATATTGGTATTACTCAAATTACTAATGGCTCTGATATTTCAATTGTTCTATCCCTATATTAGTAAAAGAGAAGTACAAAATTCTCTTCCGGGTCGGGTTTAATTAAAATAATTATCCAAAAATTCAAATTGGATCTTTTGTAATCAGATAGTTTAATGAGTTCGGATTAGATCCATTGCCTAATTTTATGTTTACTACATTGCCGAATTTTATGCTATATCGTTCATAATAATTCTATTCTATAATTAATTTGGGAAAATTTTCCAAAAATTGAAGATAAAGCTAAAATATAAAGAAAGAGAGATATTGTTATGATTATGACTACGATAAGAACGAAATTTCTTCACGAGATTGTAGTAGTAACAATGTTTAATATTATCTTAGTTTTGTTGAAAATCGTGACCATAATATGTGGAAAACTGGAAAATCGAAATAGTTCACGTATTTTTTATCATCTATAAATTAGTTTGCGTATTTTTCTGGCAAATATTAAATAGGTCACGTTTTTTCGGGAATTTTCCCTAAAGAATTTTGTCATTAATTATAAAATTAAATTGTTTCCTTAAAGATAACGCTAATTAAAATACCTCAATAGCATATTCCTAATTCTTATGAGATGCTTATATTACGGGATTGTAAGTTCAAAAAATATACAATAATTAGATAACAATCTTCAATCATTTGTTAAAAAAGTTAATTAATTTTTGTTAGGAGCATCAAGAAAGCTAAACTATCCATATATATATCTGAGGAGATCAAATCATGTAATTATTCAAATTAATATTGCCCTCTTAATCACGCAGACCTATTGAAAGAATATTGAAAAGAATATTCTTTACTAAACCATTTGATTTATGAAAATATGAATATATAAAAAATATAAAATTTCAAAAAAAAAATTAGGAATTGTAAATAATTTTAATAAATATCCCCTATATATTAAAAGAGAAGTACAAATGGTACTCGGGTCGGGTCAATTTAAATTTTTTAACCGGGATTCTTAATTTGGATTTATGTAGTGTCTAGCTATAGGAGGTGGAGCCTTGGAGGATTGCCAAAGGTGTTTTGATTTAGAGTCTAACATAATGCTTAGCCAAGCTTTTCAAATTGTTATCTTTTCTCACATTCAAGTCCGTATTTCAACAAGACTGACTCTAATATAGCATTAATGCCGTATAGATACGACATCTCTCATTAGTATTAATTCATAATATGTAGAGAAAAAAATGGAGTAAGGTATTAGAATGCTATACCTATAATAGTAGAAGCGATTAAACGTTACAAAAATCACAAAATTGGAATTATAATAAAGATTCAAAAGTTTCTGTGTAAACCATAGAGAAATTTTAGGTTTACAAACAATATATTCATCACAAGAACACTATCACGGTTGCACAAACTTGGCTAATATGACCAAGTCCAGAATCCTGATGTACAGCCAACTAAATCACCACCAATGTCACACACGATCATCCTTCTTCATTGGAGGAACTATCTCCAATTCACTTGGCAGGGAAATGATAGTCTCACCTTCACCTTTGTAATGTGCTTTACACTTTGCACATTACAAGAAGACTGTGAGAGAGCCACCATTCAACATATAAATCATCTACATTGTACTTCTCGCAATCAAGATCATTTAAATAATTTCCAAGTTTTATTGGTTACCATCTATATAGATATTCTCTATAAATATTAATACTTGATAAATTAATATATGGCCCAAATTAATATTTTTGGTTCTAATTTATATATCAATAATTTAATTAATGCAGCGAAGATACAAGATTCGAAGATGAATTTTTTCTTGGCCGGCGAGACTTGATGCAGCACATAATAAGAAAAATTTTAAATTAATGGAAATTTCTCCTAATTATCCGTTGCATGCATCAGATCTCACCGACCAAAAAAAGATTTATCCTCGAATCTTGTATCTTTCCTGCATCATTAATAAAATATCATAGTCTAGATGTTATTACTTATAACGATATTTCTAGATGCTCACTTTTTTTATGAATGGAGTTTGTTAAAGGCAAGAGACTAACTGAAATTTCACGGATGTGTCATTTACCATGCTTCATATATCAGCTGCAGCATAGGGTTCTTCATGATCCACTTCACTTATAGCATTTACAAGAAGATCTTGCATGGTCTGATTAAACAAAACATATATTTATACTCTTAACTATAGATCAACAATATAAGACACACATAGAGTTTTGAGTATACGTAGATCTTTGACAGCAGGATTACAAACCATTATTAATCTCAAATAATGATTTGATGCGGCTATATCAGACACTAACACATATATATATACTCTGCTTATGAAAACCCTAGTCTTATAATGTTTAAAACATGTTGACTCTATAAGTGGGATTTTAGGAAACCCAATTCAATTTGGATTAGATTCTATTTGTAATCTGATCAGGTCAACATATTATTCATACAAAAAACTATATTTAGTTAATTACTTAAATGGTGTGATACTTATCTTAATCTATCTAATTTAAATATCTCAAAATAGCATATTTCTATAGACATCTTAATTCCCATATTTATTTTTTATTTTGTAAAGAATTGTCATTTTTTATTTATAAGTGGTAAATTTGGATATAATTAACAACCGACAAATGAAAAATTGTATATGAAAATAAACCCTACTAATTAATATCGAAAGAGAATGTAAAAATAAATAAAATCATATATCAAAACAAAGAGTGGATAGAAAAAATTAATACTCTAAAATTAAAACCATGAAAATAATTATTTTTTATTTTATTTTTTATGGCATGACAACAACGATTTATATGGTATTTTATATTAGTATTTTTCTGGGCTAAAGAACAAAAATTTAGACTAATTCACCTAAACTAGTATACATTAATTTTCCATTTTTTAATTTAAAACAAAGTTTAAGAAATGAAGTAAAGTATTGATGTGAAGTATGGTGTGAAGTAAAGTATTGATGATTAGTATGAAGAAAGGAATATGCATGTAATATTCCATTTTTTATCTCTATTTATAGAAGCAAAACAGAAATAGAGTTGATGACGAGCGGAGGCGAAGCTAGGGTTTTGCACACGGGAGATCAGGATGCTACGATGGAGGAGGTAGGGGGAAGAAGTCAGCCTCCTGGTGATCCCCCGGATGCTCCGGGCTTGTGGGTTCAGAAAGTGAGGGGGAGTATCGGTGGTGGTATGCCAAGACCGGAAGAGGTTGTGACTCATGAGTTTGTGAAACCGAGGTTTAAGATTGAGTTTCCGAATGGCAAGAACGGGGAGCCTGTGATTACCATAGGAGCGGTCTATGGAAGCGTTGTATGATTGTGAAGGTTTTGGGGCGTACAGTTCCAGTCGCGGTGCTTAGCCGTCGGTTAAAGGAGATGTGGAAGCCTAGTCGTGACATGGTGGTTGTGGATTTACCTAGGCAGTTCTTCATGGTTCGTTTTGAGTCAGAAGATGAGTATATGGCTGCTTTAACTGGAGGTCCTTGGAGAGTGTTTGGTAGCTACTTGATGGTCCAAGCATGGTCACCGGATTTTGACCCGATTCGGGATGAGATTGAAACGACTCCGGTGTGGGTGCGGCTTTCAAATCTACCAGTGTCGTTTTATCATACAACAATCTTAATGGGAATAGCAGAGGGTTTAGGGAAACCGATTAAGGTGGATATTACAACCATGAACTTAACTAGGGCTCGTTTTGCTCGTGTTTGTGTTGAGGTGAATTTGAAGATGCCGCTAAAGGGTACGGTGATGATAAACGAGGAGAGGTACTATGTCTCATATGAGGGTCTCTCAACTATTTGTTCTGGGTGTGGTTTGTACGGTCATTTGGTTCATTCTTGCCCACAAGCTGCAAAGGAGAGACCGCCAGAGCAAGTGAGTCAAAGGGATCACCCTCGGAATACGGACGTTGTAACTCATCAGTCTACTCAAGTAGGGAATCAGAATGGGAGCAGTCAGACGGTAGATGGTTTTCAACCGGTTAGGAGAGGCGGAAGACGGCCGGAAACAACCAGGGAAGGTTCTAACTTTTTGGGAAACCGAGAAACTGTTCAGAAGCGACAGAATATTCGGGAAGTTCAGAGAAGGAAAGAGAATCCGGACGTTCCGGTGAAGAATAGTTTTGGAAGGTTAGTGGATGATTTGGAAGATTCGGAAGTTATGGAAAAATCTCGTTCAGTGGAGGAGAATAAGGAGAATAGATATATGATGAATCAAGTGGAAAAAGAGAAGAGTGCTCCGCAAGGAATGTTAGTTGTCTTCGGATCACAAAGGGGTAATAAGTTGGGCCGAGGAGATTTGAATAATGTGCAAAAAAAGGCCCATGAAAAATTGAGGATGAAGCAGGCCACTAAGACAGTTACTTCACGGGGTTTAGTGTTTGGCCCAATAAGGGGTGAGGCTGAGTTCTCGTCGTCAGGGAAACGACTCAGACTTGAGCAAGACTCACCACCGGAAGTTACCGATTCTGGAAATCTCCATAGTCCGAACGAGGTTGTAGAGTTCATTATCCAAGAACAGGGGAGGGAGTCTAATCTTCCGTTGGTGAGGATGCCTTCCACGGCGGAGGTTGGAGCGACCAGAGATATTAGTAAATAATATCTCGCCCCGGTGATTCGGTTGTTTAAGATCATTTTAATGATGAATTGCTTGTTGTGGAATTGCCGGGGGGCCAATAAACCCAATTTTAGGCGATCGATAAGATACATTTTGAAGCGTTTTAACACTGACATGTTGGCAGTGTTTGAAACGCATGCTGGTGGAGATAAGGCGAGACAGATTTGCTACGGTTTGGGTTTTGAGAATTCTTTCCGTGTTGATGCTGTGGGTCAAAGTGGTGGTATCTGGTTATTGTGGCGGACTGGAATAGGTGATGTAGATATTGTCTCTTCTTCCGATCAATTCATCTATGCGACAGTTACTCAAGGGGGAGTTTTATTCAATATTGTTGTTGTCTACGCTGCTCCAACAGTTTCTAGACGGAGTGGGCTTTGGGCCCAGTTACGAGATCTGCTAAGCGGGGTTTTGGGTCCATTAGTAATTGGCGGGGACTTTAATACGATTGTTCGTATTCATAAGAACAGGAGGGAATGGGTGTCTTTCTCAAGATTCTTTGGCATTTGGGGATTGGATTAGCGAAATGTCTTTGATTGACATGGGTTACAGGGGTAATCAATATACCTGGAAGAGAGGTAAAGTGGCGAGAAATTTTATAGCTAAAAGATTGGACCGTGTGTTGTGTAATGCTGAGGCCAGAATGAAATATCAAGACGCCTCTGTAACTCATCTGCCTTTTTTTTTCATCGGATCATGCCCCTTTGTACGTGCAGCTATCACCAATGGTTAGCAGAAATAGGAGTCGTCGGCCCTTCCGGTTTGAAGCGGCGTGGTTACAACACTCTGGATTTAATGATTTAGTCTCATCTTCGTGGGATCGTGATATTGATACGCGTACGGCATTATTCCGGTTGCAGTGTGAGTTGCGTAAGTGGAATCGGGAAGTGTTTGGAAATATTCAACAACGGAAGGACGCGCTGGTGAATGAGATCTCAGAAATTCAAAAGAAAATTGATGTGAATCAAACTGATGATCTGTTGGATAGGGAAGGGGAGTTATTAAATCAGCTTGAGGTCGCTTTAGAACAAGAGGAGGTTTTATGGATGCAGAAGTCAAGGGAAAAATGGGTGATTCATGGAGATAGAAACACTAAGTTTTTTCATACTTCAACCGTGATATGGCGTCGTCGGAATAGGATTGAGATGCTGAAGAATGATGAGGGTTGTTGGCTTTCAAAGCAGGAGGACCTTGAGAAGTTAGCAGTTGGGTACTTCAAGAGACTTTACTCTTTGGATGATGTTAGCGCCATGGTTGAGGTGTTACCCTCGGGTGGTTTTGTTCGGATCTCGGGTTCAGAGCAACTAGCCCTCAATAAACCGTTTACGGCGATAGAAGTAGAGCGGGCAATGCAGAGTATGGGTAGTTTCAAAGCTCCGGGACCGGATGGCTATCAGCCAATTTTCTACCAGAAGTGTTGGGATGTTGTTGGGGAGTCTGTGATTCGGTTTGCCTTGGAGTTCTTTGAGTCGGCAGATTTGCCTGACGAGACGAATGATGCGCTCGTGGTGTTGTTACCTAAGGTAGCTGAGCCAGAGAAGATAACTCAATTCCGCCCGATTAGCTTGTGTAATGTCTTATTCAAGATTATTACTAAGACAATGGTGGGAAGATTAAAGTCAGTCATGACCAAACTGATTGGACCTACTCAAACGAGTTTTATTCCGGGGCGTTTGAGTACGGATAACATTGTTATAGTCCAAGAAGCTGTACATTCCATGAGAAGGAAGAAGGGTAAGAAAGGTTGGATGTTATTGAAGCTTGACTTAGAAAAGGCTTATGACAGGGTTAGATGGGATTTCTTGGACGATACTCTAAAGGTTGCTGGTTTGTCAGAGAGGTGGGTATAGTTGATAATGCAGTGTGTAACTGGTCCTTGTATGAGTGTTTTATGGAACGGGGAACGGACGGAGCCTTTTAAACCTCTAAGGGGGTTGCGTCAGGGAGACCCGTTGTCTCCGTATCTCTTTGTCCTTTGTATAGAGCGTTTATGTCATCTGATTGAGGAAGCTGTTGGCGGAAAGCGTTGGAAGCCAATCGCGTTGTCCAGAAGCGGGCCTAAGCTGTCGCATATCTGCTTTGCAGATGATTTAATCTTGTTTGCTGAAGCTTCAGTGTCGCAAGTTAGAGTTATCCGGGGAGTGTTGGAAAGATTTTGTTTAGCATCGGGACAAAAAGTAAGTTTAGAAAAGTCTAAAATCTTTTTCTCCAAGAATGTGTCAAGGGATCTTGCTAAGCTTATTAGTGATGCAAGTGGAATTAAAGCTACTCATGATTTGGGAAAATATTTGGGAATGCATGTTTTACATAGGAGGATTAACAAGGATACTTTTGGGGAAGTGTTGGAAAGGGCCTCAAATAGATTATCGGGGTGGAAGGGGCGAATGTTGAGTCTCGCCGGTAGGATAACTTTAACCAAGGCGGTTTTAGCAGCAATTCCGGTTCATACAATGAGTACAGTGAAGTTACCGGCCTCGACTTTGCTAAACTTAGATTGTGTGGCTCGAAATTTCTTGTGGGGTAGTACAACTGTGCAGAGAAAGCAGCATTTAATCGCTTGGGAGCGGATTAGCCGACCAAAGGGTGATGGAGGATTGGGGTTACGGAAGGCTGCAGATATGAACATGGCTTTAATTGCTAAGGTGGGTTGGCGGGTTTTGAATGACGATAAGAGTCTATGGGCTCGAGTGGTCAGGGGGAAATATTCTGTGGGGGATATTCATGACCATAATTGGTTAAAGGCGAAGAGCAACTGGTCGGTTCTATGGAAGGGTGTGTGCTGCGGGATTAGAGATGTGATTTGGGATGCGCATAGGTGGGTTGTTGGGGATGGTCGGATGATAAAGTTTTGGACTGATCGATGGCTAGGATCGATGTCGATTTGTGAGGGGTGCGTATTCAAGTGCCGGATTCGATGGTTCACACAACAGTTCGTGACCTTTGGGTTGATGGTGGTGGCTGGGATTTTAACCCGATTGATCCCTATGTGACGGAGAGAAAAAAATTGGAGCTTATGGCTATTGTGGTGGATAGCGTGTCTGGTGTGAAGGACCGGCTATCGTGGGGGAATACAACGGATGGGCGGTTTAGTGTGAGGTCGGCTTATGGTTGTTTGACTCGCGATCAGACGTCTAAGCCGAACTGGGATGGTTTCTACAACCGTATTTGGCGAGTTAGAGCTCCAGAAAGGATTCGTGTTTTTCTATGGTTAGTTGCTCGGCAGGCTATTATGACAAATAGTGAAAGGGCTCGACGACACATGAGTGATACGGCAGAATGCTCAATATGTCATGGGGGAGTGGAGACGATCATTCATGTCCTTCGCGATTGCCCTGCCATGACAGGAATTTGGGAGCGTCTGGTCACTAGGTTTAAAAGACATGTTTTCTTTAGTACGTCTTTATTCCAATGGCTGTATGATAACCTAGAGGAGGGCACAGAGGTGTTTGGGAGCTCATGGGCTACTATTTTTGCGGTTGCGTGCTGGTGGGGGTGGAAGTGGCGTTGTGGAAACGTGTTTGGTGATAATAAACTTTGTCGGGACCGAGTTAAAGTCATTAAAGATCTAGCTCGGGAGGTTATGGCTAGTCACGCTAAGAATGGTTTGGTCCAAGATCGGGTGCGGGTCGAGAAGATGATTAAGTGGGATACTCCAGGGTCTGGTTGGGTCAAGCTTAATACGGATGGAGGCTCTCATGGGAATCCAGGGAGTGCGGCTGCCGGGGGTGTGTTACGGAACGAGTACGGCGAATGGATGGGTGGTTTTGCGTGCAATATTGGGTGGTGCACGGCTCCCCTAGCTGAACTTTGGAGGGTGTTTTACGGCCTCCATTTAGCTTGGGAGAAGAGGATAACACGGTTGGAAGTGGAGGTTGATTCGGAGATGGTTGTGAATTTTCTGATGACAGGGATTTGTGATACGCATCCGCTGTCTTTCCTGGTACGCCTGTGCCATGGCTTGATTTCGAGGGACTGGATAGTCCGTATTTCTCACGTGTATAGAGAAGCTAACCGTCTTGCGGATGGGTTAGTGAACTATGCGTTTTCTTTACCTTTAGGTTTTTATCTTTTGGATGTTGTTCCGCCGGATTTGGCGTTATGTTTGCATGAGGATGTTGTTGGTTTACCTCGGCCAAGAGACGTTTATGTATAATTTTAAATTTTATTAATAAAACATAGGGAGGGCACTATCTCCCGTCAATTCACCAAAAAAAAAAAAATAATAACAAGTTTTGTGAGGGTTGTTCACCATAAGCTTGAGTGTCCAAAATCATAAGTGTCTATTGTATTCTCTTTAGTGTGTTCTTATATAATAAAAACTTTCATTTATATATCCTCTTCCATATACACTTAATCTCTTTCATATATTTGTTTCATATATCTCGATCTTATAAAATGTCCTACGTGGTTTTACCTACTATGTGTCTGTAAATTTGGTATCAGAACCATGACAGTCTAAGCTTTAGCTCTTCGATATCTAAGAGGTAGTATGTCATAATGTTGTTTTCTAACATATACTTTGCATAGAGAGTATGCTATGTGGTTGCCATTTTTTAATGGATCCTCCACAACAGAACTCTTGTTAAGTTTGTATAAAAGAATTAAAGAAAAGATCTGTGAGGTCATAATGCTCGAAGTACCTTGAGGCTTATTTTGATGTGAGTTGTTTGCCTTAGTTTGCGTAGCTAGTACCTCACGATCATTTTTTTTATGTTCTTAGCGCTTAAAAGTCCCATGAAAACAACTTATGGTTTGTTATTACCTTGAAGATTAAGAAGAAGTTTATAGCATTCTGTCTTGGTTTCTGGTCTCTATATATATTATGGAAAACACGTCAACTTTATCCAAAGCACCCTCTTTTCGAAAATCCACCTCTAAAAAAGTAAATTATCTATATGAAATAGAATACATGAGTGATAAGAGAAAAGTTCCGATTTCCCAACTTCCTTTACTTAATCCTTACAAAGCCTTCTCAAAGCCAAATTCTAGTTTCCCAAAAGTCATCAGCCAAGTGTTTGTGCCTAACAAACATACAGCGAAAGAACTTGTTCTAGCTTCTCCTCTAGAACAATACTTCACATCAATACTTTACTTCACCCCATACTTCACATCAATACTTTACTTCACACCATACTTCACATCAATACTTTATTTGGATATACATATATGCAAAATTAGTATATCTAACCTTGTCTTTTAGTTTTACTAGTTGGTTAATATTATGACACATGTCACACTATATAATCGACAAAATTAATAAGTACATCGATTATGTTAATAACTAAAATTTAAGACACCAAACTAATTCTTTTTAAGTGAAATTTAATAAACCTTTTGTAACTGTGTTCTAAATCACGAGCTGCTTAAAATTTACGATGTAAACAAATCTTCTCATTTTTCCCCATTTTTTTGAAAGACACCCCCCCCCCCCCCCTCCACTATTTTATGCAATAGAGATGCTCTAATGATAATTGACAATTTAGACATATTTATGATATTCTATGTTTTGTGCTTGTTCCGTT